TGTCTGTTGTATAGGCTAGTATTACCAGCTGTTGAAGATTAACCTCCATCTCAAGAGGTGATGAAGGTTAATTTTGTATTTTCTTATGTAGCATACTGTATAAAATACAGCATCAGACCTAAAAAAACAAAAAAAAACAAAATATATATATATATATATATATATAGGCTTAAAAAATGTATGCTTTCTGTTGGTTTCTCACATTAAGTCACAAATAAAAAACAAACATCTGCTATTTTTTGCTATTGATTCGTGGATCTTTGTATTGGATAAAAAAACAGAAATACCAAGTGTTAAATGTAAAGGAAATTACTGATTAGTAGGAATAGCTTGAAACTTTTGTCAGAGACATTCATAAAAAGAATAAATGATTCCTTAAAAAAACGCTATAATAGCTTATTTCTTTAAACCAATGCATGGGTGTATATATAGTTTTTTGAACTGAAATACTTTAAGAAAAAACAAAAACAAGCAAATAAACAGACCTATGCTGAGACTTGCTTGGATGATGAATGGCATTCACGTTGTTATTCATAATTATTTTGTGATTGAAGCCCTTGTGGCTTTATTTCTGTATAAAGTAAGGACTGTGGAAAAAATATCCCTCTGGAAATGTAGGCATGGATAGTAAAGGCAACAGTTAAAAAGCTACAGTAAAGTGCAGGCGTATAAATTGCAGAACATTAGCAAACATGCTCACTTTGCTATTCCCTAATCTCCTTGGATTGCAGCAGATTATTATAAGGACAACTACTGTACAACTTTGATTTAGCTCATCAGTCTTGTTCTATTTTAGCCCTCCTCTCAGGGAGTTCAATCTTGATGTAAACTGAAACTCAGGCCAAGTCCTTAAAAACCACAACACATTAATGTCTGACAAATCCTTACAGGACAATGTTGTGAGAGCATAGACCACTCACTGCCCCCCCATGCTTGGCTCTTTGCCAACTGTATGCATAACAGTTTTGAACTTAGCTCAGAGTGAAATGCAAGCACCAAATAGCCCCGAACCAGAGCCATAAAAACTTAATTAGGCCTGTGTGTGTGGGTATGTGGGTGTGTTGACTGAGACGGAGTCATATTGTAAAGTTCCAGCCTATTATCTGTCAGAATGGCTGCCTGATAATGAGCATGTCCCCTCAGGGGTCTGCAGGACTGAACTGACCTGACAGGAACTGTAACGTGAAGTGTCACAGATTTGAGGCTAGATTAGAAGATCCTAACAGAATCAACTTTAACCTTTGAACTTTTTCCCTACTTTGTACTGAAATCAATTTCAACATAGGTTCAAATAATCAAATGTTGATTAAATTATATATATATATATATATATATATATATATATATATATATATATATATATATATATATATATATATATATATATATATATATATATATATATATATATATATATAAAAATTAAACGTATTGACTTTAGAGTGCAAGCAGCACCTGAAAGGCAGATATTTGTCCTTTCTTTTACCAGCGTCATCCATTGACCCAGCGTCATCCATTGACCCAACCTTACAGCCATGTCCCTTTTTGAAAGAAGAGGGAATTAAATGCCTGTCAGGATGTAGTACACTCCACTTGCTTGGATTATCCTCTAAACCCTTTGGACAGCATTATTTCATTTTTTATGGACTTGCGTGTGTGGATATGTGTAGAAATTGGGCATGGTGTGTTGAAGTGTCCCACTGCAGTAAAGAGGCTTTATTTTTTTTATTTTTTTCAAATTACGGTTTCATGTTAGGCTTACGTTTCAACAGTTCTCATGCTCAGGCCATTTTAAATTCCTGATAAAATGCACAAATATAGCAAAACAACACTTTGACCTTTTTCCACCTTTTAATGCAATCTGCTCCTGCTTTTTCTGGTAAGCTTAGGGTCAGGCTTATCACACATATTTCTAGAGGGGAAAAGAATTAGCACTAATATTACTGAAAGCCTTCAAGTTATTTGTTTATTTTTTTAAGACAAGGTCCATTTTGTAAAGTAGTAGTAGAATTCTAGTGGAAAAACAAAGAGCATAATTCAAACAGATAGCTTTTAAATAATATTTTTAATTTCACTATATTTATGATATTAATATTAATAACCTTTGTGCATTACAATAAGAAATTGTACTTTGCATTGAACCAATCCCTTAGGGCAGTGATTCCCAACTGGGGGTACGCGTACCCCTAGTGACTTGCAAGGGGAACATGAAAATATTTTATTTCTTAGGTAGTAAAATAAAATAGGGCTAGGATCTGTTTTGCTTTGTGTAGACCCAATTTCAATTTTAAACCAGCTTCTATCAACCAAAAAGTAAGTTTTTCTTATATGTTTGAGTTCACTTTCAGCTTTGACACTAATCTAAACCAAGCAGAGGAACAGACTGGAAATAGAGAGCAGCCTGTGATCAGCTGTTTTTCATGTTGAGCTATCCGATCTTATCAAAGCGAGCTCAACTAATTATCTGTTTTTGTCTGTATTTTGGTTTACCGGTAAATGTGATTATAAGGGAGCTTCTGTTTTATAAATACAGGTTTGTAACATGATTTTATTTGTATTTATTTTGATTCCTTGCTAATGTCCAGGCAACATATTTATCTTGTTTTTTTTTTTTTTAGTTGAGATGGAAATAATTTTATACTCAATTTAAAAGATTAAGTAAAACAGTTTTATTTTCTGAGTTTTATCTCTGAGTTTTCATTGGTCTTATTTTTCATTCTTCTGTTCTAGGTATTTTTGATTGTATTTGAGTTCTGAGATATTTCCTGTTTGCCATCTTGTGTCAGTCTCCTTTTCCCTAGCTCCCTTCTTGCCTCTGTTCACACCTGCTCCCAATCTGTTAATTAGCCTGCTCTTTTTTCTCTCTCCCATACAGGTGCTGGTCATAAAATTAGAATATCATGAAAAAGTAGATTGATTTCAGTAATTCCATTTAAAAAGTGAAACTTGTATATTATATTCATACATTACATACAAACTCATATATTTCAGATGTTTATTTTGTTTAATTTTGATGATTACAAATGACAACAAATGAAAATCTCAAATTCATCATATCAGAAAATTAGAATATTACTGAAGACCGATAAAAACAAAGGATTTATAGAAATGTTGGCCAACTGAAAAGTATGAACATGAAAAGTATGAGCATGTACAGCACTCAGTATTTAGTTGGGCCTCCTTTGGCCTGTATTACTGCAGCAATGCGGCGTGGCATGGAGTCGATCAGTCTGTGGCACTGCTCAGGTGTTATGATAGCCCAGGTTGCTCTAATAGTGGCTTTTAGCTCTTCTGAATTGTTGGGTCTGGTGTATTGCATCTTCTTCTTCACAATACCCCATAGATTTTCTATGGGGTTAAGGTCAGGAGAGTTTGCTGGCCAATTAAGAACAGGGATACCATGGTCCTTCAACCAGGTACTGGTAGCTTTGGCACTGTGTGCAGGTGCCAAGTCCTGTTGGAAAATGAAATCTGCATCTCCAAAAAGTTGGTCAGCTGCAGGAAGCATGAAGTGCTCTAAAACTTCCTGGTATGTGGCTGCGTTGACCCTGGACCTCAGAAAACACAATGGACCAACACCAGCAGATGACATGGCACCCCAAACCATCACTGACTGTGGAAACTTTACACTGGACTTCAAGCAACGTGGATGAAGTGCCTCTCTTCTTTTCCTCCAGACTCTGGGACCTTGATTTCCAAAGGAAATGCAAAATTTACTTTCATCAGAGAACATGACTTTGGACCACTCACCAGCAGTCCAGTCCTGTTTCTCTTTAGCCCAGGCAAGACGCTTCTGACGCTGTCTGTGGTTCAAGAGTGGCTTGACACAAGGAATGCGACAGCAGAAACCCATGTCTTTCATACGTCTGTGTGTGGTGGTTCTTGAAGCACTCACTCCAGCTGCAGTCCACTCTTTGTGAATCTCCCCCACATTTTTGAATGGGTTTTGTTTCACAATCCTCTCCAGGGTGCGGTTATCTCTCTTGCTTGTACACTTTTTTCGACCACATCTTTTCCTTCCCTTCGCCTCTCTATTAATGTGCTTGGACACTGAGCTCTGTGAACAGCCAGCCTCTTTAGCGATGACCTTTTGTGTCTTGCCCTCCTTGTGCAAGGTGTCGATGGTCGTCTTTTGGACAACTGTCAAGTCAGCAGTCTTCCCCATGATTGTGTAGCCTATAGAACTAGACTGAAAGACCATTTAAAGGCTTTTGCAGGTGGTTTGAGTTAATTAGCTGATTAGAGTGTGGCACCAGGGGTCATCAATTTTGAACCTTTTCACAATATTCTAATTTTCTGATATGATGAATTTGAGATTTTCATTTGTTGTCATTTGTAATCATCAAAATTAAACAAAATAAACATCTGAAATATATGAGTTTGTATGTAATGTATGAATATAATATACAAGTTTCACTTTTTAAATGGAATTACTGAAATCAATCTACTTTTTCATGATATTCTAATTTTATGACCAGCACCTGTATATTCTCCTCCTGTTCAGTCATTCGTTGCTGGTTTGTCGTCATTTCTTTGCCCCCTTGTTTTGAGTATTCCTAGCCTTCATTATTTTTGGATTTTTGCTTCTGTTCAACTTTTGTCATTAAAACCTTTAAGTAACCACCTCAAGCTTTGTGTCTGCATTTGGGTCCTGTCAAACCTCCAGCCCCATTGTGACAATAATCAGTTATTGTATGTTCCACTTTTGGACAATCATCAATACTTTTGCTTAAGGTTTGAACCAGCAATTTTTTTTTTTTTGCTTCTACTGGACACAAAAGCTCTACTCCTCCACAACTAGGCTACCAGCCATCAGCTTAAAAAGACAACTTTTAAAACAAACATCTGCCTCATTGGAATAGCCTTAAATTATAATCATTATCAAGGTAACCAAGTATTTTATACTACTGTATTTGGAGTTTGACAGCAAAAAGTAATGCAACTTACATATGTCTGCTTTGAGCCTAAGGCCCCTAAATAAAACAGCAGTAATCTGTAGCCCTCAGCTCCTAAGTCCTTTTAATTTGACGGGCCACGCCCTGTGCGACATCACCCCAACTCTATTTACCTGCGGAGTCAGAGTGCCACTCCCTCCTCCATTCCCCACCTGTGGCTGTTGCATGCTCTGTTGGCGTCTCGTTTAAAAAAAAAGCTACTGGATCTTCCTAAAGATCTAATATTATAAGCTGTCTTTTGGGTGAGTGTTTTAACGCTACAAAACCAATCTCCTAATGTTTACTAACATCGTGTGATTACTCACCAAGCGTAACTTTTTACAGACTCGCTTCTCTCTCACAACTTGGGCCAAACCGCTCATGTTGTCTTTCATTAATACCACTACACAGACGGAGATCAACTTGTCATCCCTTCAACGGTGAGTTGTTAACTCCGATTCGGGTCATTTATTTTGTTTGCAGCGGCTAGATTTAAGTTTATATTCCGCGATCTGCGTCTTTTGTTTGTACCGCTGCCTCCACTTAATTCCTTGCCGCGCTGAGTCCCAGCGTTATTATGAATTTTGAACTTCGTTTGTAGTGTGTAAAATATCGCTTCTGCTTGTTTAATATAAATTATTTTTAATTTACATTCAAGCCGAATTTTGCTTTACATTTTAGTTTAACAGAAGCGCCCCTTTTTTTCCAGCTTTTGACTGGATCATTAGAAAAGCAATGAGGTTTAGTTTTTTTTTTCTTTCTTCCTTCCTCTTACCTCATTGAAAATTAAATAAATATTTGAATGTAGCTACGTACTTGTGGAATTTGTTGCGCAACTTAAGAACTTAAGATCTGCTTGAGTATTTTTCTCTGCTCAAGTAATTTAATTGGAAAAGAGTTTTTTTTTTATATACATTGAATATTCATGATTTATGGGAAAAAAAGTGCACTTGATTACAATGTGTTTTTGAGTATCTAAAACTTTTGTGATAATCTGTTAAACGATTTATTTCTTTATTTATATAGTTATTTGTTATAGCTATATATATATATATATATATATATATGTTTGTATATATATTGGTAAAATGTGTAAATATGGAAAACTATCTGCATGTATAAATGTGTTCCAAAATTTAATGCACACATATTTTAAACATGCAGATCTCATTGGTTAAGAACAACTGCTCATTTGTTTTTTTTTGACCATTCTAGGTCAGGTTTTTTTTTTATGCCAGAAAAAGGACATCACCCTCACTACAATCTGGTTCACAACAACTTTTTTTCTTCTAATTCAACTGAAGATGGCGAGCTAAGACCTCTACCTGTGCGGTAGGATACAGACTCTTCTTTCCTATAAGGATAAAAACTATTCTCTTCCCAACCCTGGATTACCATAGCGTATGGACTAACAATCTAACCTAACTGAACCTTGGGGACAATTAATCAAAAACTGTTTTGTTATTAATGTTTGTGTGTTTGTTGTTTTTTTTTTTTTGTGTGTGTCTTGGCCACTTTAATACAAAACTAGTTAAACCTTATTTTTGTCTCTGTGATTATTCACACCTCGGGCTCCTCAACGAACCCTCTTCTGGTAACATCTTTCTACATCTATATAGTCAGTTCCTTGTCATTAGCCTTTAACAAGCGTTACATTTGGCGAGCTAGCCAGGAGTCTGATGTGTGAATATTCATTGTGAATTACTGAGATTGTTTTTTTTTTTTTGACTAAACTTGCATCAGAAGTGTCTGAAATGGATTTCATTGAAAAAACAGGGGTTGAGGTTTCCCATTGTGTTTTTGCTACCGGTGTGACTAACACTCAAGCAGATGATGAGTTGATTGATTATTTGCGTACTTATGGGGATTTAAAAATGGCATTTACTGTTACAGATTCTGACAGTTCTTTTTACAAAAACCTGATTGTTGAATATGATACATACGCAGCTTTGAATAAATTGAAGCCTCTTTTGCCATATAAATTTGAATCACAGAGCAAGTCTGGTTTAGTCTGTGAAATAAAACTACTTGCGGATGAACTTTATGCCACAGCCACAGGGGGGAGTACTGCCATCATTCCTGCCCCCACTGTACCTTCCACTGATTACCTCCATGAGCTCAAACGCATTGCTTACCGATGTGGAAAACCCTTTGAAGAAGTTATTAAAGAGGTAATGGATCAAATAAGTGGACATCTGGCAGAAGTCGGAGGAAATGATGATGATGATGAAGATGAGGAGAGACAAGAGACTACAGTTGATGTACTGGAGACGGGGCAGACCATGTCAGGTTCAACCCTTGTGTCTCAGATGCCATCAACTTCTCAGTCGGTGGGTCATTCTTCCACTGGCCAATCAGCAGACCCTCCTCTAGTCAATACAGCTGCCAATCCAGGACAGCTGATTTCTCTTTCTGGACACGACTTGAATCCCCCAGAAGTACAGAGGGTTGTCGTGGAGCACATTGTGAGAAAGGACGACATGAGCCTCCAATCCTTGTCCCCACTGCGCCTACGAACATTTTCTGGAAGGATTCCTAAACCAAGTAATGAGGCAGATTACGACTCATGGCGTTCCCATATTGAACTCTTGCGAGCTGACCCTACCTTGTCGCCACTGCACGTTACAAGGCGCATTCTAGAAAGCCTGCTCCCTCCAGCTGCCGACCTTGTTAAAAGCTTGGGGCCCAACTCTTTACCAATCATGTTCACCCAAGTGCTCGACTCAGCCTTTGCCACTGTCCAGGATGGAGAAGAGCTCTTCGCTCAGTTCCTAAACACTCTTCAGGACCACGGAGAGCGAGGGTCTTCCTTCCTGCAAAGACTGCAACTGACACTGAGCACAGTTGTGAAGCGGGGCGGAATCCCAGCAAGAGACACTGACAAGCATCTATTGAAACAGTTCTGCAGAGGATGCTGGGACAATGTTGTCATTACAAAATTACAGCTTGAGCAAAAAAAAGACAATCCACCTACCTTCTCCGAACTTTTGTTCCTGCTCCGGACCGAAGAGGACAGGCAGTTGGCCAAAGAGTCCTTAATGAAGAAACACATTACATCCTCGAAACATCGTGCCAACCTGCAGTCTCAGAGTGCATCCTCCTGTGTCTGTGGCCGCACGGACACCAGCGCCATTGATGAACTGAAACAACAAATGGTAAAACTGCAAAATCAGATGTCTGCTTTGCTGGCGAAGAAAATTCCCGCCTCTGCACCAGATTACCGGCAGAGTAAGTTAAAGCCAAAAGTCAATGTCTCCACCAGGCCCAAGCCTTGGTTTTGCTTCAAGTGCGGCGAAGATGGACATATTGTTCCTGCCTGCACAAATTTAGCCAACTCCAGCCTTGTTGAACAAAAGCGCCGACAGCTGAAACAGAAGCAGCAAGCATGGGACGCTAAGAACTCCAAACAGTTAAACTAAATGCAGCTTCTTCGGAGGGACAGGTGGAAGCTGCTACTGAATTGTGTCCCCAAAATCAACGTTTTACACCACGAAACTCCTTTCCCAAAGGATTAATTGGAACAAAAAGTATAGGACAGGTCAAGATAAAAGGCTCAAACTTTCATTGCTTGTTTGACACCGGATCCCAGGTTACCACTGTCACTCACTCCTTCTATAACACATATTTGTCCGACCACGAGATCAAGCCCCTAAATAACCTGCTGGAGGTGGAAGGTGCAAACGGACAAGCTGTGCCCTACTTAGGATTTGTGGAGTTGGACATTACCTTTCCTGCTGAGTTCCTGGGACAGTCAGTGAATGTGAACACTCTGGCATTGGTGGTACCTGACTTCAGATCATCACAGCCCTCAGTCCTCATTGGTACCAGCACACTGGATGTGGTGTATGAGAAACACTCTGAGATCAAAGACTCCGAATTCCAACCAGTACCATATGGGCATAGAGCTGTGCTGAAGATCCTAGAGCTAAGACACAAGCTTGCCACTGATGATCACCATGGCATTTTAAAGCTACAGACCAACAGTCCACAGACCTTCGCAGCTGGAAAAACCATTGTCATGGATGCTATATCCATCGCTCCAGTGTTACAAGGTGAGAAGTCTGTCGTTATCCAGCATCCAACATCTTTCTCCCTGCCCGGCGGCCTGATGGTCCAGTCATGCCTGGTGGATCTTCCCTCAGTCCAACCGTGCCATCTCCCAGTTGTCATCACAAATGAGTCTGACCACGATGTCATCCTTCCAGCCCGTGCTGCTATCGCAGAGCTGTGTGCCTTCCAGTCAGTCCTCCACAAGCAACAGAGTGTGTGCCAGCAAGACAGCCTAAAGTCATCAGAGTCAAAGCTGAACTACAATTTTGCTGATTCACCCATCTCCCCAGAGTGGAAGCAACGTATTATTTCCAAGCTCTATAGCATTCCTGAAGTCTTTGCTCACCATGACCTTGATTTTGGTTGCACTGACAAAGTAAAGCACCAGATCAAACTTGCAGACCCAACACCTTTTAAGCAAAGACCCAGGCCCATCCACCCACAAGACCTGGATGCTGTCAAACAACATTTGCAAGAGCTGTTGGAGTCTGGCATAATACGTGAATCAGACTCACCATTTGCCTCCCCCATCGTTGTGGTGCGCAAAAAGAATGGCAGCGTAAGACTCTGCATAGACTACAGAAAGTTAAACACTCAAACCATCAAAGATGCATATCCTCTGCCAAAGCTAGAAGACACCTTTACGGCCCTGTCCGGATCAAAATGGTTTTCCGTCCTAGATTTGAAGTCCGGCTACTATCAAATCGAGATGGAGGAATCTGATAAATGCAAAACCGCCTTCGTCTGTCCTCTAGGCTTCTGGGAGTTTAACCGCTTGCCGCAAGGAGTTACAAATGCGCCCTCCACTTTTCAGCGGTTGATGGAGAAGTGCATGAGCGATTTAAACCTCAAAGAAGCACTCGTCTTCATCGATGATTTAATCGTGTTCGCTCCGACGCTGGAAGAGCACGAAGAGCGGCTGATGAGGGTTTTGCTGCGGTTAAAGGAGTTTGGCCTGAAGTTGTCTGTGGAGAAGTGTGTCTTTTTCCAGCCATCTGTGCGGTATCTCGGACATGTGGTGTCGAGGAATGGAGTTGAGACAGACCCAGAGAAAATTGCCACCCTAACATCTTGGCCAGTCCCACAGAACCTCAAGGAACTTCGCTCATTCCTCGGATTTGCCGGTTATTACCGACGCTTTGTGAAAGACTACTCATCCATCGTCAAACCACTGAATGAGCTGACCTCAGGCTATCCACCAAACCAGAAAAAACGAAAACCATTGATAAAATCCCAGACCTACCTGAACCCAAAAGAGCCTTTCGGTGGCCGCTGGTCCCCTGCATGTCAGACTGCCTTTGAGACCATCATTCAAAAGCTCACTTCAGCGCCTGTTCTCGCCTTTGCCGATCCTAGCAAGTCGTACACCCTGCATACAGATGCCAGCTGCACAGGACTTGGTGCTGTTTTATACCAAGAACACGACGGCAAGAACAGAGTGGTTGCTTATGCCAGCAGGGGCCTGTCTCGGAGTGAAGCCAGATACTCTGCACACAAGCTGGAATTCCTAGCATTGAAGTGGGCGGTGACCGAAAAGTTTAATGACTATTTGTACGGCACACCTTTTACAGTGGTCACAGACAGTAACCCTTTGACCTACCTCCTTACCTCTGCAAAGCTGGATGCAACGAGCTACAGGTGGCTCTCTGCCCTTTCCACCTACTCATTCAAGATTATTTACAGAGCAGGAAAGCAAAATGCTGACGCAGATGGTCTCTCTCGTCGACCGCATGAGGTGTTGCCAGATGACCACCTGACACAAAAAGAGCGTGAGAGAATTTTAAGGTTCACCCAACATCACCTACAAGATTCCTCACCTGTCTCCATAGACCAGCACACAGTCCATGCCATTTGTGACCGACAGCTTGTGTATGGTTCCACTGCTGAAGACCAAGTTCTTGCTCTGGTCCAGACACTCACCACTGATCCAGGAAGTCTGCCAGACAGTTTTGTTGATGACATACAGTTTGCCTCACCCGTCATACCTGCATTCTCTCCTGATGAAATTGCAGCCAAACAGCACACCGATCCCGTCATACAGCATGTTGTTGCACAGTTGGAAAGAGGAGAAAGTCCACCTACTTCTCTGAGGGACGAACTTCCAGACTTACCTTTACTCCTGCGAGAACTAACAAAACTGGAGCTCCACAACAATGTTCTTGTACGGAGAAGGCAGATTGGGAGTGAAACCACATACCAGCTTGTGCTACCTGAAGAATGTCGCTCTGAAGCATTATACCAGCTGCATGATCAGATGGGACACTTGGGCATTGAGAGAACGCTTGACCTTGCAAGATCCCGGTTTTACTGGCCTCGTATGTCTGCAGATGTCCACAACAAAATAAAGAACTGTGAAAGATGTGTCCGACGGAAAACACTGCCAGACAAAGCAGCTCCGCTGGTTAACATCAAAACGTCAAGACCTTTGGAACTGGTATGCATGGATTTCTTGTCGTTCCCCCCCTGAACTCATGTACGGCCCTGTACATGCAGCGGGCTGACGGCAGACGGCTTGTTTACTGGTAAGGGAAGGTTGGACCTCATCAATTTCAACAACATAATTAAAGGCGGTGCTTAGTCCATGGAACAAAGATTGGATACTTTGGAGCAGTGGATGGCCCAGCCTGGAGTATTGGAACCGCTCAGGAGGACGACGTGTTCGGATAGGTCGATGGCCTGGTGGTTCGGACCCGGGACTGGACAATTCAAGCTCAGAGGGTGAGTCAGATTCAGAGACAATGCTGACGGGGTCTGGAGTTTCCGGATCAGAGGAAGCGCTTTCTTCAGGCTCCAGGTTAGCAGCAGGTCTTAAGTCTAAGTGAGTATTTACAGCTTCAGCTAAGTGGTCAATGGTTTCTTGTGACGATTCAGATTCCGGTTCACTCTCAATCACACGAGGCCCCACTTCCATCAGAGGTTCTTCAGTCCGGGCAGACTGTGGTTGCTGGCCAGGCGGGACCACAGCTGACTCAGCCGGATGAGCAGAAGTGGGCAATTCGATTATGGATGTGAATCTGACTGGTTCTGAGATGGAGAGAGGTTTAACAGGAATCAGTTCTTCCTCCGACAGGATATCTTCACCACCATCATCAGGAGGATTGAGAGGTGTGCTTTCTGACGGTAGGGAATGTGTCACTTTCTGTTTGATTTGTTTGGCAGGGGCTGAGAGGAAACCACAGGGTAATAGCAGGTCTCGATGGAGTGTACGTACAGGACGGTCCTTGTTTTCTGGCTTCACGGTGTAGACTGGAAGTGGACTGGCTCTTTTGATGACTGTGTACACATCTGGCTCCCACCGATCAGCAATTTTGTGTTTTCCCCTTATTCTCACATTTCTCACCAGCACACGATCTCCCACCGACAACTCTGAAGGAGTGATGTTCTTGTCGAAACGGGTTTTGTTTTTCAGCATCAGCTTCTCAGAGTTCTCAATGGCAATTTGGTAGCTTTCTTCGAGGTGGGCTTTTCTTCGCAGTGCAAATAATGATCATGTTAAAGCCTGTTAACAGCTTATGGTTGACATTTTAGTTCTTTAATTATGAATATTGAATATATGTCTTCCTATGTGATGAATATAATCCCAAAAGAATGATGAACCCTTTGCTCTGTGAGTCTGCTGACCCAGACAGGAAGGCTGACTGTTAGCTGTGCGTATACTGTATTCACTACAGCAGATCTTTTTTTTCCAGAAAGGCAGAGCCTTAATCTTGTTTTCTGGTTTAACAATCACAAGTTCTGCATATTAGCTTAAGCTGTTCAGCTGATCAAAGAGGGGGAAAAAAGCCCTGCATGTGAAAAGACTGACATTACAGTGTATGTGGGGAATTTTTGCCCTTGTGATGCCAATATTAAAGCTAAATACAAACACAGATTTTACTCTAAATTGACTATTCATCTTTTAATAAAGGAAACAGAAATACAT